GAATAGTGTTTGTCGGAGTTACTACTGATCTAAGATATCTAGAAAAACGACGTACTCATCGGTATCGTTCGATCATATACATCCAACAGAGAGAACAACTATCCGAAATGGCTGACCAACCCCCACCGGTAAATAGTATGATTTCGTTTCGATTAATGGAGAGGTCAGGTTCTCTTAGCATTGATTTCACAATAGCATTCAGAATTATCTCTCCGTTTCAATAATCCTTTACACCCCTTCTTTCCCACAGGACGTCTCAAAGGTACCGAAAGAAAGTTAACATGAACTCGTCTTATTAGACATCCATCAAACCCAAAACATTTGAGTTTGATAAGCTTGAGGTCGACTTGAAATTGAAATTCTAACTCGAAGATCGATTTAGGTCGAACTGGATGCTGGCAATTCGCGTTCGAGTTTTAGTGGTTCGAGTCAAGCCGATTTCGAGTTTGAAAGATTGAATTCGAATCGAGTTTTAGTTTAGTCTACGCGAGCTTGATCAAGTCCGAGCTTGGATGCTCGAGCACAATCTCAATTCGAACTTCAAGTTACGATTTCAAACTCAAATCAATCTTGTCAAGTTTGCTATCAACACTCGAAGTGGCGATTGAGTTTGGTGCATGTCTAACTTTTTATAGAGTTCAAGGGATTCGAATGCATGCTCAAATAATAAGATAGGAAATTCTTTTCATACATCCAGCTCTGTGGAAATCTTCAAAACGACATAAGCGATTATTTCTTTTGAAATTCAATCTCATTATCGGCTTTTCTCCTGCATTCGTCGGCATCTGTGATCAGGGTCCCCGTCGACGTTGTTTTCCACGAATTCCAATGACAGAGACCGAATGGTATCGAAATAGTTGAACCTGGCACACATCAACTGCTAAAAAGTCTTTCAATCAAACTTGTAGGAAAATTATTATCGAGAAATGTTTTGGAAATCGACAAACGACTGACAAGGACTTACATTCTGATCAAATATTATGCACTCAAAGCTCCGAATTTTCTGATCTCCATAATAGGGAAGGTATCAAACCAAGACAGATTTTTTCGAGGGTACGAAACAGACTCATGATGAGGTGGAAGTGTGTGCGCTAGCGCACATGTTCAGATCCCGATTTGCTTTTCTTCATCTTTCGACCATTCAAATTATGGTCATTGGAACTGATAGTCCTCAGGTATAGGAGAGTCTGTTGCGTTTCACATTCTCATCCTGAAGGGATTACGCTAAACGCTATTTTGCTGACGATAAGAGAAACATCAGTTTAGCCTACATGAAATAAGTTGTTCTTGTCAGTTATATACACGTTATGTTAGCGTAATCTATGTAGTGTCTATCTAGTACATCCTGGGCTCACTTCGTGACAGATATGGTGTGGCCGATAATTCAGGCAAATCTCGCAAAATTATGGCGGAAATAAAAGATGAATACAGTAAGTTCGGCAAGTATCTTATGAAAGAAGTTGAGCACAAGAATATCTTGCTTATTGGACGCACTCGTACAGGCAAATCGACCATAAAATCATTGCTCGTGAATCCCACGTCCGTGCCGGATCAATTAACGCTCAAATCCGGTACAAGAGAGTCTCATTTTCAAGCCTTTCATTTGCAAGAAAATGATACAGTACTCAACATTATTGATACACCAGGTCTTTTCGAACATAGCAATAATGAAGTGGATATTCGTGACAATGAGGTTATCCTAAAAACAATTGGCTTGTGTATGACTATGGAAATCACCAAGTTTCATGCAATCTGTTTTTGCGTCTCCATTGTAGCTGGCATTAATCGTGAAGATATCAACTCACTCGAACTTTTACAAGATTATCTTGGCGTTGAAACGTCGAAGAATTCGTGTTTGATTGTAGCACGCTGCGAATCGATCGATGAAGAACAACGTGAAAAGCTAAAAAGAGAATTGATGGAAGATGTGTATTTCAAAAGAATCGCACCGTTTTTCAAGTTGGGTATTTATTTTTCTGGCTCCATCAATCGAGACGATCTCAACCAAGGGAACGAAAATGTGTATCGCCAGTTTTTCACAGTTA